GGGTTAATAAGTCCCCTACTACGCGGCGTATATATTACCGCTACTATCCGTAAGGGTCTTATATCTACAGATCTCTAAGTAGGTTGTTTACTAAGTAACCTACCCTAGTAACTACCTCTTATTAACATTCTTTCTATCTTATAGATTTCTCTTCTATATATCTACTCTTTATTATACCGCTACGTACTTCCCGTAAGCGTCGCGTACCCGACCCGCCGGCGACTCCCGCTTAAGCGTCGGCGAGTAAGCGCCGCGCCGTYAAGGTGCCTACGGCCTATCGCCGCTATACGCGGTTAGTATACCTTCGTATTAGCTATCGCTATAACGCTATCTTTAGCGCGTTTAAGCGTAAGTACGACTACTATAAGTAAGTAATRCTTATTCGAGACGCCTACTCCCCTCTTACGTAGCGCTAACTTCCCTTAAAGGAACAATTATTATAAGTATAAACCCGTACCGGTAGCGATGCGCCTACGCTACGATAGTATTATAGCTACGGCCTAAGAGCTTAATCTAGTAGATACTACTTAGTAGAAGAGTAGTTAGGAGGAAGCTAATTATAAGGCGGCGGTAAACACCTTTAGTATTAAGTTAGATACTTAGATCCGTATTAATAAGCCTATCTTAGGTATACGGCGTAAGAGTAGCATAGTTAAGGCGCCTAATCTTACTCGCTTAACGAACAATCTTATAGCTATTACTTAAGTCGGTCGTATCGTAAGTATCTCGCCTACTCCTCGTATACGTCTATAATACTAACCGTCTATATAGTAGTTAGAGATAATAGGGCAGTCTACTAATACCTTCGATACTACTCTTACTAGAAACGAGCTATTCGAGGAGRAGTCCGAGGCGGAGGAGAATAAGTTCGAGTAGAGTRCTTAGCGCGTTCTCTAGGCTTAYRTAGYRTATRYGCCTATCTTATARTATAGTCTATAAAGTAATCCCCTTTAGRTCTAACCGTAATAAAACTACTTAATTCTTATTACTCTTCTTCTATTTTACTCCGCTCTACTTCCGAGCCTCTTTTACTACGCGGCCTCTAYRTATACGYRGAGCCTACGCCTCGAACCTATYRAGAGCTTCGTAGTCTTTAATATATATACTAGGTTCCTAYTARTTATATTCTAATAGCTATCTACGCTACTTTACTAAATAAAACGTTTCGCCCTTCTATACCCTCTTATTAAGAATCTCTTTAACCTCCTACTACCTATCCTCGTCGACTATAAGTAGTATACGCTCCTCTTACGCTTTACTCTTCCGGCTAGAATATAGCTCTAATAGAGTAACGTAGAAGACGTTATAGATCCTTACTAAAGTAGGTAACTATAAGCAATACGCCTAAGTCCCGATTACGTTAATTACGCGGTATAGGCCTAGCTATTTAGGTCCTATCTTCTTCTTACCCTCTAGCTTAAGGTTCTTTATAGAGAGAAGTACTAGATTACTAATATTAAAGCTTATAGGCTTGTAGTTCTTATTATAGTACTTTAACTATTGCTCTTTAGCTTTACGCTATCGCTTAGTAAGCTCCTTATATACGCTACGTATACGCTTCGCTAAGTCGATAGCGGCCGGTATTCTCCCTTCTAAGAGCTCGTCCCGAGCGATGTCTTAGGTATTAGCGCCGTCGCCTAGAGGGCGCGTCGCTAGCTCTAGGTTCTATCTATAGAGGATTTAGAAAGGGCTTATTCTAAGGCCCGCGTATACGCTATTATTACACGTAAATTTAGCTATAGGTAGCTATTACGCCTAGCTATCCTACTACGTGCCGTAGTAGTAGCGTAGGTATTACTTAAGTATCTAATTAGCTTTTTTAGTCTATCTATCCGTCTAAGGGTAGAAGGCTATACTTAGCTTACGCTTTATATACGCTTCGTAGTAGAAGTTAGACTAGTATTAGCTAGTAAAGACCGAGCCTCTATTACTAATAATACCTACTAGCACGCCGTATTTATAAACTACGTAAGATATAAAGATATCCGCTAGCTCTACTATATTACATTACTTAGTAGTAGGGATAAATAAAGCTATCTTACTATAGCGGTCGACGATTACGAGCACCGTAGTATAGACGCTATCTCCGCGCTTACTAGGAGGTAGGTCCGTAATAAAGTCTATGCTAATTTCTTGCTATACTCGATCCGGTATAGGTAATAGAACTATTGCTCCGTAGGGGCGGTAGTGCCGCGCCTTACTTACGAGGTATATATAGCACCCCTTAATATACTCTACGATATTAGTAGCTATACGTAGCTAGTAGTACTTCCGCTAAAATAACTCGAGCGTCTTCGCCTTCCTAAAGTGTTTAGCGAGAGCGTTATCGTAGTATATACGTATTAGTTACGCACGTAAAGCGTAGTCTTTCGGAATGTATAGGGTATCGCCGTAGAATAATGTTCTATCCTTAATAATATAGCCTTCGTACTCGCCCTTCTCCCTAGCCGCGTCGCGTATACTAGTACTTTAGCGTAACCGAGTATTAGGTCTAGAATATTTCTAAGGGCTAAGTCTATAGCTACTAAGACGGCTATAATACGCCTAGGTAGTAAAAGCTCGCCGTATACTCTAGTAGGTAGTAATCCCTCGTACTTAATCGCGTAGTATATAGCTCTTACTCTTCTAATAGAGGGCTCTAGCTCGCTTCGAAGAGCTTTATTAGATTGCTAGTTCTAAAGTTTGCTTTATAGTATAGGTAATAGTATGCTTATATACTAAGACGACTCCGTCGTATTCGTTTCGTAGTCGCTACGCCTGCTCGGACTATCCGTAGGGTTCTTTRTCCCTACGCGATATTCGRTAGTAAAGTCGAAGGKCGCTAATTAAACCGCCTATCGTACCTATCGACCGACTAACTGTTTTATCGTTATAAAAGCTTTAAGGTTAGTATAGTCGACGATTACTTAAATCGCATACGTAGCGCTATCGAGGTACGGGCGCTACTACTTAAACGCACTTACTACTATAAGTAGCTCTTTATTATAGGTTTCGTAATTACATTCGGCCGGAATTATCTTCCGTAACTAGAAAGTAATAGGATACTACTATTTATCCTTAAACTACTATAAGAGGATGCCTATAAGCGCGAAGTCCGATACGTCGGTTTCGACTCGTAGGCGAAGCGTAGGGTTATAGTACCTTAGTAGTAGGGCTAACTAAAAGGCTTCCTTAAGCTAGCTTAGCGCATTCTTTTTRCTAGCGCCCTAAGGGATCTTCCCTAGCTTCCTACCTTTAATAGCTCCCTTCGATAGGTCGGTTAAGGGCCTTATAATGCGTAAGTACTACTAAATAAACCGCTTATAGAAGTTAGTGAATCTAAGGAGTACTTATATATTTT